GATGTGGAGAGAGAGAGAGAAAGAGAGAGAGAGAGAGAGAGAGAGAGAGAGAGAGAGAGAGAGAGAGAGAGATTGGAAATGGGTGGTGTTGGGCGGGTGTTAGCCCGCACATGGACACGCAGCAGACGGACACGGAACACAATGCACCCCGATAATGCCTGCATCTGACAGAAAACATCAATTGTGTACAGCGTTGTCGGGGATCATTCTGTCCGTGTGTGTGTGTGTGTGTGTGTGTGTGTGTGTGTGTGTGTGTGTGTGTGTGNGTGTGTGTGTGTGTGTGTGTGTGTGTGTGTGTGTGTGTGAGAGAGAGAGAGAGAGAGAGAGAGAGAGAGAGAGAGAGAGAGAGAGAGAGGTCCAGATGGACAAGGAGTAATCCAGTACTGCCATGTAGCAGTGTAAAGAGAGGGAGACAGGTTGGGGTCGGGACTGTGTGGCACACGCAACAGAAACGGGCGCCTCCGCCGCCGTGGACGCAAGCGCACACATGTTCGGAAGATTTAGATGCACATTTAGATGACCACTACACAACGGGCCTCGCCACCTTCGACCTGCACAAAAGACAAAAATCATGGCGGTGTATCTTTCCATATTCTAGCTGAAGATTCCCTCTCGTTTTGCACTCGTCGAAAGTAGTGGAGCGAGGCCACCATTCTACATGTTTCTGGAACGTATTGATGACCAGATACACAAGATACACTCACTTCTCGATGCATTCAGAACACTGGATCAACGGGAGTGTATCTGGTCATCACAACCGTCCAGATAAAGGTGGAGTGTTGCTTAATGGAATCTCTCTCTCTCTCTCTCTCTCTCTCTCTCTCTCTCTCTCTCTTTGTTTTTTTCTTCTTTTTTTTGCCTAATTTTTCGTGTGGCCGCTGTTCCGGCCCAGAAAGATTGTGTGCGTACATGTCATGTATTCTTGCTGAAGATTCACTCTCGTTTTGCACTCGTCGAAAGTAGTGGAGCAAGGCTTACCATTCTACCTGTTTCTGGAATGTATTGATGACCTGATACACAAGATAAACTCACTTCCCGATGCATTCAGAACACTGGATCAACAAGAGTGTATCTGGTCGTCACAACCATCCAGATAAAGGTGGAGTGTTGGGTAATGGAATCTCTCTCTCTCTCTCTCTCTCTCTCTCTCTCTCTCTCTCTCTCTCTCTCTATCTATCTATCTATCTATCTATCTATCTATCTATCTATCTATCTATCTATCTCTCTCTCTCTCTCTCTATCTATCTATCTATCTATCTATCTATCTATCTATCTATCTTTGTTTTTTTCCTCTTTTTCTTGCATAATTTTTCGTGTGGCCGCTGTTCCGGCCACAAAGATTGTGTGCGTACATATGTTATGTACACAGGGCCTGGCCATGTTTGCGGCCCGATATGTCGACGATGGTCACACATTCTGTCCAGGATAGGGTGACAAGTTCCCCGGCACACACACACACATACACACACACACACACACACACAGAGTACGTCTCTCTCTCTCTCTCTCTCTCTCTCTCTCTCTCTCTCTCTCTCTCTCACACACACACACACACATACAC